GGTCTTTGCCCTGTGGTGTAGATCAGTGTTGAGTTTGTTTGGTCCTGTGGTTAGCAGCTTAAACCACTAAAGAATTTGGTTGTGGATGGGCAAACAGGAAGTCCATTTCTTTGGCTGGCACATAATACTTTCGGTCCGCTTTTTTTCATTGGGGGGAGAGGGGGCAGAAACAGCGGCTGGGGTCTGCCACACTATTTCTGCCGGGTCTAGAATAGCATTATTTATGAGTAGGGCTATTTTCGAGGAAGAAGATGGTTGCAAGATTTTTAACAGTTTATGTTGATTTTCTTGGACTTCAAGTGGGATGTCCTGGCTAATCGCTATGCGTTTGAATAACTCCTGGAATTGTTTAAAGTCATCAGACAGGGTGGGTGGAGGTGCCTGACGGCTTCTTCAGGAGAAGAAGAATTATGTTCAGGGTATACTTCCTCAGAAGCGGGTTCTTCCTCGGGTTCCTTGGCTATCTCCTCCATGGTTGGTTCAGACCTAGTTGGAGAGCACTTAGGAGAAGGTTTCGGGGTGTCCTTCTCTGATTCAGGTTGAAGCGATTTTTCCATTAGGATCATTTTTTGAGGTGGAGATCCCGGTCGCTCTCACCTTCAAGTTGCTATGGTGGACACACTTGGATGGTACATGCATCTCTCTGAGGCATCTTACACAGAGAGTGTGCCCATCGGAGCACAGCATAGCTTCTTTGCAAGAGACGCATTTTTTTAAACCAGGGGAGCCTGGCATGATCAAAGTAAAATCCCAGGTGGACCGAGAACTTTTTGAGGTCCGTGCTCCACAGGAAGCAGGGAACCGGGGAACACAGAAAAAACTAAGTAAAATTTTTTTATATAACACTAACTACTTACCTAAGGAAAGTTAAACTGAAGCTAACAATTAACTATTTTGCTATCTCTAGGGGTAGACGCTGACGCACTACCCCGAGCTCCGTCTTCAGTCGAGGACGGTTGAAAGAATTAAGGGGGTCGGGCCGTGCGCTGAACGAGACTCCAACGGCGCCGCAAGAAAGCTATTGCACACGCATGGCCCGACCACGCACTGCTACCAAAAATATCCAATTAGCAGCGCCAAGACGCAATATCAGCTGAAGTGGAGCACCCACAGGGCCACACATCTTGAAGAACCTCAGTTACTGCACAAGGTAAGTAACCCTCTCTTGGCACTGACGGTGCAGACCATGTTGATGTTGCTGGTTGTCACAGCAGTGCTGAGCAACATTACTGCACTGAAGGTGCTAAGTGTTCTGATTGCATAGAATAAACAGTAATGCTGTTTGGATGTACTGACAGAGCCAGTAGTCCTGAAGAAGCTGAAGACTGAAGAGTCTTGTAGAGGGAGATATCAGATCTCTTCCAAGACAAAGATTTGAGGAGTTAAAGGCACCAAGAGAGGTGGGGACTCTAGTGAAAGAGCTTGGTATATCGGTAATGCCAAAATAGGGCCTTTTTCATCACTCCAGAGTGGGACAGGTAAAAACACCGGACTTCATGGTCCCAGAGTCAACAGCACTGCCTCAGACAGAGCCAATGTGCTCTTGTGCTTTTGATGTGCTGAACCAATTCCAGAAGACTTACTGTACAATTTATTTGGTGATGATGTAGATTTTTGAATGCTTCTCAGGATGAGAACACTTAGAGCACTTAGATGAGACAGCGGAAGATGATGAAGATCAATGTTTCTCATGCAACTTGTGCTTAAAGTCTTGTGCTAGAGGAGGGACACTCCTGATACAGAATCTGTCGGTTCAAAGTTAGGGTCCAGTTCTGATACTGGTCCATTAGACGGACCTTGGAACAATATTCTGTCTGCTTTTTCATTGTAGTGGGCAAGGATGTACAAATTGGGCATTTGTCCTTCACATGCCCTTCCCCAAGCAGAATAAATATCTTTCTTGTCTATCCGGGACAGGGAACACAGCCCTGCATGTAGCACATGGTTTGAAACCCAGTGATTTCTTCATAATTAACCCCTGGGATTTACTTTGAAACTAAACTAGCTAACCTAACACTAATTAAACTAACCCTAGTATAAACAACTATTTACAAAAAGATTTTTAGGAAGCTGGCTGAACTGCAAAACTATGGGGAGCTCAGACTCTTGCCACTAGCAATGAGAAGGAAATGAGAGGATGGTGGTGGACACACCCACTTTGCAGCCTTGGTTGGGCTCAGGCACCATCTATACATACTGCTGGCAAGAATCTCCCACTTCAGTGCACTAGACTCACACAGACCTAAAGTGGTATCTAGTGCACAAATATTTGAAGGAGAACCATTATAACACAAATTGTCAACATCACATGTCAAAATATACAAAGTAAATATCCTTAAATCAAACTCTAATAAGTTCTCAAGTAGCATTTTTCTTACTTTGCCTACCTGCAAACGATTATTATAGATGGATAAATTTTTAGCTGGTTTGTGTGTGAGGTGAAATCACAGTTTACCAACATTTACTGATAAAAATCTAATTCTTCTAAACCTATTTAGAATACATTCCACCTTCGGGAATGAGGAAAGAAGGAATGGCCGTTGCTTTCCAGCGACCCCTGCCAGCCAGTACAGGAGCCAAACAATGCTATTCCAAGAGCTGCTCAACCCTGCTGGCTGTGTAGGAATAAACTCTCTTGCTCCATCAAAATGAAAGAGGTATCTTAATTCAACTACACTATATATCCATGCCCAATATCATTAGTATTTCCTTGTTTCCCCATGCATTTATGAACTTATTGAAACACTTCAACTATTCTAGCACTGGGCCTTTTTCTAAAGTAGAAATAGCTTATAATGTTACATTACTGGAATAACTTTTTTAAAAGTTATGTACGGTATAATTCATTTTTCCTACAAACCCACATTGAGTAAGTCTTTCATGAATGCAAAGCTGTTGCTCAGATGACTCAAACTCACATTTTATTAGTAGTAACGTTTATATTTAGAGTAATAAATACATTGGTACCAAAAATACACTGCAACAAAAACCCTAATTACATGGAAATTCCATTTCAAATATGAATCAGGATCTTAAAAAGTATCATTTCCAAACAGTATCCTTTGTTTTCCCTTTTAGCACTGAAAATAGTTTGCAAAGACTGTATAGGAGCTATAAAAATAAACCAAAACTTAAAATTAAAATAAATGTTTTATATTTTACACACACATCGGTTCCTGAACACTTTACAGAAACAAAAATAAAAAGTGTTGAGAAAAGGATAATCCTTTCCAGGGAGCTACAAATTAAGCAGCAAAACAAGGCAGATCACTAGAGCCCACCAAAGCTGCAGAAAAAGTCAAATGCATACAGCTCCTCACAAAGAGCAACATACATATACTGGAAACCAAAAACAGCAAATAAAGAGCATTAATGAATTGTAATACATAATGAGAATATAACCTGCCATTTAGCAATTGCACTAAATGTAGCTAAAAATGGTGGCCTTTCACATACTGGGATTAACAGATTATATCAGTAGGAGATACCCTAGTTGAAACAAAAGATGCAGCCATCTGGTTTCTTGAATCAACATAAAGTAGTAAATTGGGGAGATTACTGAGGACACATTCCAAACCATGTAGTTGTATCACTCTTAGGAGAGTGGAGACCCAAAAAAGCTATGCCATGTCAAAATAAAAACACTAATACTTAACATTATCTTCAACCAGTTTTTAATCAAAAGGACCTCAGAACACTTTACAAACATTAAACAAACCTCACAATGCTCTTCGGAGGTAAATCATATTACAGATGGGTATCTAACGATCAGAGAGATTAAGCGACTTACTCAAGGTCACATAGCAAGATGCTGGCAGAGCTTGGAATAAAAACCAGAATTCTCAACTCCCCATTATTTTTCAAGCACCCAAAAGTATACTAGGCACCTGATAAAACAAGTGAAAAGAGAGTCTTTAGTCTAAAGAGCATACAGACTAAACTGTACAAAATGTAGTCAGTGAGGGTCATAGACAAAGGGGGAAGAAGGACAACAAAAGTAAGGTAGGTACACAACTTGACAGTTTTATTATTTTGCTCGTTTCAGCTGTTAGCTATTTCCCCTCCACTTCTCACAGAAGAAAGGTCAGAAGGCGTTTTAGAGAGAACTTCTAATTTGGGAAGGAGGTGGCCTGGCAAACAAACAGTTCCTGAGAGGAAGATCCAAGCATAAGGGCAGCTTGGAACAGAGGAGCTGGCAGTGTTGGGGTGAGGAAGATACAGCAGTGGGGATGCAAAAAAAAACAACAGGCAAATGAGTGGAAGGGATGCAATGTATGAAGGAGAGAATATGAAAGGAGACGAGATCAGAGATGAAAGCAGAGATTGCATGATACAGGGCCTTGAAGGCAAGAAAAAGAGTCAATGTGATTCCCATCATCTGCTCCACCTACTGAACCAAACTCATCCTCTCCCAAGAAAATGAGGGTTATTCACAGCAGCCCCAAAATTAGGCTTTTCACATAGCACCCATGAATAAGGAATCATTAGTTCAGGGCTTGAAAAATTAAGAGTACGTCTATTAGCCTGAAGACTAAACCAACTATAGCCCAATAAAAAGGACCAGTGAGGTCCAATGACAACAGCTCCAGCCCCTCAGTCCCCCTCCCTCCCCGCGGGCCGCCAGCCCCTGTTTCCCTCGCTCCCTCCCCCCGGCTGCCAGCCCCTCAGTCCCGCTCCCTCGCTCCCTCCCCCCGGCTGCCAGCCCCTCAGTCCCGCTCCCTCGCTCCCTCCTGCCAGCCCCTCAGTCCCCCCTTTCCTCACCCACTCCTTCCTCGTGTGTGGAAGCTGCTCTACACCCGCCGCTCATCCTCGTCCCTTCCCCATAGAGCGTAAGCCCCCACTCACTATCACCTTATCCCTTCCCCAGTATGCGGAGGAGCCAGAGCCAGCCTGGCTCCCCCCACCCGGGTGCGTAGGCTCCTCTGCCCCCTCTCCTCCCGTGTGTAAGGAGATTTTTCCTCTGCTCCCGACCCCGCTAACCGTTGGGGTTCGAATCTTACCGGTAACCCGGCGCCGCGATGAGGCGGCAGCGGGGAGAGCGCGCGCCGCAGACAACAGCAGCTGTGCGGGGGTAACGAAAGGCAACAGCTGTGGGGAAGCGCGAGCTCGAGAAGGAGGCAGAGCCGCGGCGGCAGCAACAGCGCGCGGCCGGGATAGAGAGGAGGGAACAATGCGCGGCCAGGATAGAAGAGAGGAAAAAGGGGCCGTGCTTCAAACGACGCTCCGCCCTTGCCCGAGAAAAGACATACGGAGCTTCGTCATCACATCAGTTACCATCTTCCGTAAGATTTAAGGGGGCGCCCTCCCACTAGACTACATGGAGAGGGGCGGGCACTACATTTGATGGATGGGTATTTTATCCAATGGGAAAGGAGGTGAGGCGGGATTACGTTAGATGGGCAAGTCTCTACCACAATAGGAGTTGCTGACTTGATGCTGTCCTGTTTGATTGACGTCCCTGTCCCTGAATTGGAAGAAGGGAAAACGTGGGCGGGCTGAGTGTGAATTGAGCTTCTTTTATACCCAATGGCTATGGTACGAAGGCAGGGCTCAGTTTGATGGGCATCTGGCCTACCTAATAGTTGTGGTACATAGACGGCATCAACTTGATCGACTCCTCTGCTGCCCAATGGGCATGTGGCAGAGTCTGTTGATCGCGTGATGGGCTAGCCAATGGGCGCGCTGTAGAGACGGTCTAAGCGTCTCTCGTGCTCTGTCTTTTCCCGAATGAGGGGGCCCCTCCTCTCCACCTGAGACCCGCTTGCTGGCTGGGCCCCTCGCAACGCGTGTGGGGGCCGGGGGCTGTAACGTGATGAGCCGAGACCCTGCGAAGGGAGAGGGAAGGCTCTGGCCTCGGTCGCGGGGTGAGGCGGCAGCGGCGGGTCCAGCCGGGAGCGACAGCGGCTGCTGCGCAGGGCGGCCCGGGCCTGCCTGGTAGGTACAGGGAGAAGCGGGGCCTCTCGTCTCCTGGGGACGGGTTCCCAACCGGGGCTAGCTGCTGTTGCGGAGGCTGAACCCTCTGTCCGTGCCGAGTGCGGGCCACAAAGGGGGCGGGCCGGACTCAGCCCTGCGGCCGCGGGAGGGAAGGCGGGAGCTGGGGCACGGAGAGGACCCCGCCCCCGGGCCTTTCGGAGCTGCCGGTTGGCTGAGGCGTCCCGCTGCACCAGGGACCAGAGCAGAGGGGCGAGTGAGGCGCAGAGGGCAGCGCAGCTGGCAGGCAGCGCCAAGCCTCCCCTTCGACCCAGGGGAGCTGCGAGTCCGGCCAGGGCGGAGATGAACGGCCAGGGCAGGGGCGCCATTTCGGGGGTGGGCAACTTTTACCATGTTTCCTGGGGCTACTTAGGCACTTGAAAAAACTCGTTTTTTTGACAGGAACCCTGTCTCTGATTCCTTTATGAAAGAAATGTAAATAAATATTAGACCCACTCAGCTCTAATAACATGTTCTGACATCTTGTGGCAAGTCACTTAAGGGACACTGGTTAGGTTGAAATTTTAATATTCTTATTTTATTACTAACTCTGTGGAGAGAGAGACAGACCCTGTCAGGCCCCCTCACCTCGGGGAGGGGGGAAACAGATACATCTGGGTTCTATATAAGAACATCAGCGGCTATACTGGGTCAGACCAATGGTCCATCTAGCCCAGTATCCTGTCTTCCAACAGTGGCCAATGCCAGGTGCCACAGGGGGAATGAACAGAACAGGCACCAAGCAATCATGGAGTTACCCTGTTACCCACTCTCAGCTTCTGGCAAACAGCGAGGAACATGCAGAACATGGTGTTGGATCCCTGCCCATCCTGGCTAATAGCCATTGCTGGACCTATCCTCCATGAACTTAACTAGTTCTTATTGGAACCATTCTAGTTTTGGCCTTCACAACATCCCCTAGCAAAGAGTTCCACGTGTTGACTGTGAAGAAATACTTTTGTTTCTTTTAAATCTACTGCCTACTCATTTCATTTGGTGACTCCTAGTTCTTGTGTTACGAGGAGTAAATAACAATTCCTTATTATTCTGTTAGCTTTTTTATTTGCCATTGTACATTGAGCAGGTGTTTTCAGAGAACTATCCGCAATGACTCCAAGATTTCTTTATTGACAGGTTCAGCTAATTTAGACCCCATCATTTTATATGTATAGTTGGAATTGTATTTTGCCAAGTGCATTTCTTTGCATTTATCAACACTGAATTTCTTCTGGCATTGTTGCCCAGTCACCCAGTTTTGAGAGATCCCGTTGTAACTCTTCGCAGTCTGCTTTGGACTTAACTATCTTGAGTAATTTTGTACTAACTACACATTTTACCACCTCACTGCTTACCCCTTTTTCCAGATCATTTATGAATATGTTGAATAGGACTGGTCCCAGTACAGACCCCTGAGGGACACCACTATTTACCTCTCTCCATTCTCACCTTTTAGTCCTACCCTTTTGTTTCCTATCTCTTAACTGAAGTGCCTGGCAGTGCTTTTAGGATCATCTAATGATCCTTAATTTACTTTAATGATAAGCCTTTTGTTATCATAATCACCCTGCCTCTGTTTATAAACAAACTCCCTGCCATAAAGGCTATGCTGCTTCCAGCTTCAGAACTTACACATATCATGCTCAAGCTGTTGCAGTTAGGAGCTCTGTCTGGGGCTACAGTGAGTAGACCTCCCCTAGGAAACTCAGGGGTGGAGGGGCTAGAGCTCTCTCCTCCCCCCCACCCCCCCAATGGCGCCCCTGGGCCAGGGGTGGAGACTCACGCACTTCAGGGAACATCAGTGACTCACAAGCACCTTCTGCCTTGGCGGAACCCTGCTGACACAGAGGACAGGAATACAACTGCTGCCTGCTCCAAGTAATTGCTCTGGGTGGGGAACAGACCTCTGCAGTGCAGGGAGAGCCCTGAGGCATTCATGATATCAGAAGTCAGCTATGAATTCCAGAACCCTGCTCCTCCTAATTGGCCGGGTCTAACCGCAGGAAATGCTCCTCTAGACTCAGGCTTGGTTGGCCTACATGTGATGCTTATAGTGGCATAGCTGTGTCACAGGGGTGTGGGGGGAAAAAAACACTGACATAACCCTCACTTTTGATGTATCCATCAGCAGATGTATTTGTCCATCAAAGTAGCCAACATCATTCAGGGAGTGCTGTTCCTACCTTGACAGAAGAAAACACTCCTATCAGTATAGGCCAGTGGTTTTCAAACTTTTTTTCTGGTGACCCAGTTGATGAAAATTGTTGATGCCCATGATGCTGGGGATGAGCGATTTGGGGTAGGGGAGGGGCTCAGGGCTGGGGCAGAGGGTTGGAGTGTGGGGGTGAGGGATGTGGGGTGGGGCTGGGAATGAGGGATTTAGGGTGCGGGAGGGGGCTCTGGGGTGAGGCCAGGGATGAGGGGTGCAGGAGGAGGCTCTGGGTTGGGGGGGTCAGGGCTGTGGCAGGGGATTGGGGTGCGGGAAGGGCTTTGGGCTGGGGGTGCAGGCTCTGGGGTGGGGCTGAGGAGTTTGGGGTACAGGAGGGGGCTCAGAGCTGTGGCAGGGGATTGCGGTGTGGGAGGGGGTCTGGGCTGGGGGGTGGGGATGAGGGGGCTGGGTGCAAGAAGCGGTTCCAGGTTTGGGGGGGCTCAGGGCTGGAGCAGGGGCTTACCTCTGGCAGCTCCCGGTCAGCAGCACAGCCAGGGTGCAGGGGCAGGCTTCCCACCTGTCCTGGTACTGCGGACCGCGCCTCACCCCGGAAGCGGCCAGCAGCAGGTCTGGCTCCTAGGCGGAGGTGTGCAAGCGGCTCTGTATGGCTTTCGCCCGTAGGCACACACACCCCCAGCTCCCATTGGCCGGTCCTGCTGCTGGCCACTTCTGGGGCATAGCGCGGTGTCGGAACAGGTAGGGACTAGCCTGCCTTAGCCGGGCAACACCGCCAATGGGACTTTTAACGGCCTGGTTGGCGGTGCTGACCAGAGGCGCCGCAACCCAGTCCCTTCTATTCTGTGACCCAATTCTGGGTTACGACCCATGGTTTGAAAACCACTGGTGTAGGCTATGTCTACTCTCCAGCGTATAGCCATAGTGTAAGGGTTTATTGACTTAGGGAGTTATTCTGGATTAAACGAATTTGGAATATGCCATTTATGAGGGAGTAAGAGCATCCACTAAAACAGTTAATCTACTTTAAATTAACACCCTGTTTTATACCCAATCAGTTTTCAGGGACAGACAAGCCCTAATATCCCAAAATAAAAGGGATGTCCGTGATTCTTGCTGTTGGTGCCTTCAAGCCAGCAAAAGGAGGCTGTGAATATGAAATGTCCCAAATAACGAGGCAACTGACAATAACTTGTTCCCCAAGAGCAGAGAATAACAACTGTACACTATATGCCAAAAACACAACAGAAGATGGCATTTCTTTCCATCTGGATAATTAGTTGGAGCTAGTGAATGTCAGTAGTTTTCTTTCCCTAAAAAATGTAAATGTTCATTTTTAACTCAAGAGAAATAAAATGCTTTAGCCTAGTAAAATAGATTTGTGATTAAAGCCATTCAATAAGGTAAAATGCCCATGGATTAGTTGAAGAAAATTGGTCAGGACAATCACTCTTAACATTCAGTGCTACATGAATTAGGTTGTTCCTTGAACTGGAACATTGTTTTAGGATATCCTTATCCTTTTAAAGGTGAGTATAACAGTTTTTAAAAAAAACTGTTTAAGAGTCCAGATCATTAATATACTATTACCAAAACATTAACCTTTTCTTACCTGCCGAGCTCTACGTTCAGGTTCTCCCCTTGTTCCGTGCATCAATATTTCCACTTTAATAAATGTGAGTTGCGCACGCACACATCCTCCAAGAGCAAAATTTTGACTTCAAGAAACCTAAAAGAGCAAACAAGATTTCTGCATTCCTTGGACCATATCATGCTCCCTACATCCCTATGTGGAGAGGAGCCTCCATGCTTAGTTTTCAACTCCTCATTCAGTGTGTGTTGCCTTTTTCTGTGGCGCATTCTCTGCAAGAGGATATTTCCTCATAGTACAGTTCCATTGGTGCCATCCTGCCTGAGTGCTGGGGGCCAGTGGTGGTGCAGTGATAGAGGCTTCTACAAGATCTCCTGGGATCTGACAAATTTGTCTCACTTAGGTAAAGGATCGACCCCAAACCGCCCTTTACAGGATACAATGAGGAAACCTCTAAGGAATTCTAGGTGAGATTTCCATACAAAAGCCCCTCTTCCGTAGTTTAACATGTTTTGGAGGGGGGGGAAAGGAGAGGAGATGGATGATCTAATCCCTTGTTATTGGGTCACTATTTTTATGGAAGGAAGCTGTCCGTTTGGTATATGTAAGTGTTTTGGCTATACATACATCTCTTGTTAAGTATTCCTTCTTTGAAGAACATATTTAAACTGCTGGTTTTTATTCACTTTTTTACATCTAATTTTTCTTTCCAATACGTTTCTCTCATAATTTTTCTCAACTGGGGGAAATTTAGCCCCTTTGAAGCACCAAATATATAAATTATTAGTTGGGACTGTCATTGTCTATATTGAATATAATCAGGTCAAGATCATTGGTCAATGGGCAACTTCCAGTCCAATGATTAACTCATCTTTATCCATCATAATGTGGTCCAAAACAGTTCTTGTGTTGGGTGCAGTATCTTTTTGTGTTAGAAAATAGTCATTTATAAGTTTATAAACTCCAGTGTTTTACTACCAGCTTCACAAAACCTCCATTTCATGCCTCTCAAATCGAAGTCCTCCATAACAACCATTTCCCCCCCCCCCCCGTACATTAAACAGGTACAAAAGGAGTAACTTAGAGGACAGTTAAGAACCGCCTATTTTGATTTGGTGGTCTATAACAGATCTCCCCAGTAATTAGCACAATCATCTATATGCAGTCAAGATCCTATAGTTTTGCATTAATCATAACTCTAAAACAGGTAATGGTGTCACTATCCTTCCTAAACAGGTTATAACTAATGATATTTGATATTCCAGACCTGTCCCACCTGTTTCATTAAGGTCACTATCCATTTTCTATTCATTCTATTCATTGAGAATTTTCAGTTCCTCTTGCTTGTTACCCGTACTTCTAGCATTGTTAAACAATTTCTTCTCTTTGCATACTTTCCCACATCTGTTCAATGTGTTCGGAACATGTTGAATTTGAGTTATTACCACATTTGCCTTCTCCACTCTCCCCTTTCTTTGTTAGGTTAATGCTTTCCAGGCTGCTTCTGCTAGTCTCCAGTTGAGAAATTTAGCCCCCGTTACCCCCAGTCTGTGAGATGCAGGCCATCTCGTTCATAGTGCTCCCTCTCCCACTGGAATGTGGCCTACTGTTCCACAAAACATCCACTAGTAGTGCAGCCAGCAATCCATCTCCTTCAACTTTCTATTCATGGGACCAGAAGGATCTAGGAGAATATCACTTGGTCTTTTATCTTCTTCAGCTCCTTTTCAAAATCTAAGTCTCTTGTAATTTGTATAGTTCCATGTGATGCCAAGTCATTGGTTTTAATGTTTCATCAGCAGTGGAGATTTGCTAAATTACTTCATAATCCTGTCCAGTCATGCAATTACATGTCAAATATTTGCTCCTGGGAGACAACACACCATCCTGTTATCCTTCTGTCCCTTGCTGAGTTCTCTCTCCGCTCTTCTTAATATGGAATCACTAATGACAATTGTTTGCATTTTCAGGATGATTGAATAACCTGTCACAAGGCAAACAGCTACCAAATTGCGAGGATGCCCATCAGCTATGTCCCCTATAGCTTTCTGTTCCATTCCTCCAGAAAGAGAGTTCCTCAATAGTTGACTTACTGGTTATCTGATTGATAACTATTTGATCATTCTAGCCAGGCTGAATGCCTCCTAGCTCTGTGTCACAAGTGGTCAGTTTGTTTCTTGGGTTTCTACTCTTTCTAGTTCCCTTATTTCCAATCCTTCCCCTTGTGGTGTCTGTGGCAACAATTGCTGAATCTGGTTATCCAAGAAGTAGTCGCCTTTTTGGATGATGTGTGTTTATGAAACTATCATTTCCAGACCACATCTCCTTGATAGTACCCCCACCAGCCAGGCAGCATTCTTGTTTTATCCCTTGACAGCAGCTTGTGGTGTTTATCCCTTTCTATGAGAATTCGGAATCAGACCATGTGGGAGAAGTACATTCAGAAAACAATGGGTCTCTGCACTCGAGTAGATAGGAATAGCTTTTTCTGTCTCCTGGGCAAAGCTTCTTGCCTCTTAAAGATTAAATCAGAAGAAAGTTGTACCAATCTGAATATGTGCTGTTAGGCAGCTGAGGTCCTCTTTGGAAAAATGTCTATAGGGTTTGACTTCCTGAAATCACCACCTGATAGAGAGTGAGAGAGAAATAGTGGAAGCAGAAAAATCTGTGTAACCATGGATCTAAAATACATTTCTGAGGATGTGGGTAGGAGGGGTTTGGTATTTGTGAAATCACTTGTCTGTCTTTTCTGCTTTGAAATTTGCTCTCTAATATTGTAGAAGCAGGTCATATATAGGGCTGTATGCAGGAGCCCTCAGAACTCCAGCTCTTGTGACACCAAGCTAAAATCATGAGCAACTGGAGCTGTGAATAGGGAACAAAATAAACTTAGATTGTAATTGGAGTCTGTGCATACACACCATATGCAGTTCAGTGGGGCATTGATCCCTGACTGCCCTCTAAGCATTACTGTAATACAGCTGATGTCAGAGCCAACACTAACTGTGCAAAGGGCTGGGTGCCTATTGGCTAAGTCATCACAAAAATTGTCCTTAACCTTTATTAAGTTTCCCTTAGATCATTCCGTCTGAGCAGCAGTTTGCAGGACATTTCAATGAGTGTCTGCTATCTACAAGAGCAGCGTCCATTTTAGAGAAATTTGCACACTATTTGTGCTTTGGCAGCAACTAAGTAACATAACACCTCTGTGTATGTCATAGTACTGGAAAAAGTGTTGATAATGTGTTCAGCCTTGTACAAACCAACAAATACAGTTTCTGTTTTGGAGACCACAGTCTAGAGAGATTCACAAAAATGACAGACAGGCTGCACAGAGAAGTCCAAAGTTAAGGATAATTTAGGATTAAGGCTTCTATAGTTTAACTGTAAATTGCTGTATTTGCTCTGCAGAATATGTTTTGTTAGGGACATGAGAGGTTGGGGGCTTGGCTAATTGGCTTACAAAAGCATTCAGGTTTGAGTGGCAAATTCGTTTGGGAAGAGGACCAGGATTAAAATGCTCAGTGTTAAGACTTGTATCATTGGAAGAACAGAGTCATAAAAGGGAAGTGAGAAATATGGTCTACTATCTAGGTAAGGTGGGATTGTGGTGGGTTCTGAAAGAAAGAAAGAACAAAAAGTGAAACTTTTGCATGTGAAACTTCAAGATATATTCCATATGTTCTTGATGTGCCATTTGACTGTTTTTTTTTCCCCCTTGTCTTAGGTTGTTGCTGGCAGTTGGGGGAAAAAGACTCCCTCTCAAAGCTGTTTAAATGAGAATGTCCCTGGCGCAGAGAGTGCTGCTCACATGGCTTTTCACATTACTCTTCCTGATCATGTTGGTGTTAAAATTGGATGATAAAGCACCATGGAACTGGTTTCTTATCTTTATTCCAGTTTGGATATTTGATACTATCCTACTCGTTATGCTAATTGTAAAAATGGCTGGGCGATGTAAATCTGGCTATGACCCTCGCAATGGTTCTCAAAATGTAAAGAAAAAGGCCTGGTACCTCATCGCAATGCTGCTTAAATTAGCTTTCTGCCTTGCCCTCTGCGCTAAACTGCAACAATTTACTGAAATGAAACTAGTGTATGTCTTTATCCCCTTATGGGCCTTACTCATGGGGGGAATGATTGAGCTTGGATATAACATCTTCTACGTACGAAGAGACTAAGTTGTAACAAAACTTTTTCAAGTTGACCAGTATCAAATTACTAGATCATCCTATCTTGGTACAAGCTTAAACTTCACACAGCAATTACAAATGTCAGTCTGAAAATTTTATTTAAGACAGGCTGGTATTAAAGTGGATTTGTTCAGTTCTTATTTTAGAACTGTCACAAATATCGTCATGTAAATAAAGTATGTTTGACTTCACCTGTGTTTCTAAACATGACTAATTTGTTAAAACAGAATTCATGTATTTTTGTGACACACAGCTTCACCGCCTCATAAAGCTACTAGACCTTCCATTCTAAAGAGTGCAACCTGTTTAAATTCTGGGAGGAGGATTTAGTTTTCCACTACATATTGTACTATAAGTTCCAGGGAGCTACTTACAATAGTTCTAATACAATTTTCTATAATGTACTAAATTTCCTTTTGAGCATTGATAACACCTGAAAGTAATTACAATGGGGCTAATAGCCCTGCCTATTACAATTCCTGCACCCCCCCACCTTAGCTCACCTCCGTTCCGCCTACTCCCCTGAATGTGCCGCTGCTCCGCTTCTCCCCCCTCCCTCCCAGGCTTGCCACGTGCGAAACCGCTATTTCGCGCAGCAAGGCTGGGAGGGAGGAGAAGCCGAGCGGCAGGTGCTCGGGGGAGGCGGTGGTGGTGGAGCGGAGGTGAGCTGGAGTGGGGAGCGGTTCCTCTAACCCCCCCATTACTTCCTGCGCCCCGCCACCCTAGCTCACCTCTGCTCCGCCTGCTCCCCTGAATGCGCTGCTGCTCCGCTTCTCCACTCTCCCTCGCCTGAGAGGGATGGGGGAGAAGCAGAGTGGCGGCATGCACGGGGGAGCAGGCGGAGTGGAGGTGAGCTAGGGTGAGACGTCATGGGGGGCCCGTAGGAAGCAATGGGGGCGAGAAATGCAGCACGCCAGGGGAGGAGGCGGTGCTGGGGATTTGGAGAAGGGGTTCGGAAGGGGTGTAGTTGGGGTGGGGCCGGGGGCACGAAAAAGAAAGGGGAGGTGGCCAAAAATTTTTTTGCTTGGGGCGGCAAAAATCCTAGAGCTGGCCCTGCCCTCCAAGCGTTGCAGCTGTCTGGAGGTGCCTGCCTTCCACACCTTCCTCATTCACACCTCATTCATTCAACAGGGCAATCAATTACAAAGGGTGGGGGGGAGAGATCTTATTCTACTTCTAGCAAAAAGACATTTTTCTTTTACCTTAATTATACTACCTTAGGGGCCGCTATAACATATTACCGAAGTTCAATACTGCTGTTTCAGTGGGGCGGCGCTGGGGAAGAGGGTTTAATTCCGTGGAGCAGATGGCGCGCGGGGGGGGGTGGGGGTGTCGGCGGCGCTGGGGAGGTTGTTTCCGTGGGGTGGGCGGTGCTGGGGGGGGGTTGTTGTGTTTTGGGGGAGCTGGGTTGTG